TTATTATTATTATTATTATTATTGTAATTATTAATATAATTATTATTGTTATAAGTAGTAGCATTAAAATAACATCTTGAAATGTTAATTACTAGCTAAATGTTCAATTTATCTACTGTATAATATCTTAATCTAACTGTAACAAGTATTGTATTTCTAGGCCAATGCCTCATCTCGATCAGGTTTTGTTCAGTTTGCCTGGTCCTTTGAGCAAATGCTGGGATGGCCCCTTGTTTGCTCCTGAACAGTAATGTAACTTCGCTCTCTCCACCCAAGGAATCATATTGACTCGTCATACACGTTTGTAATTGTATATGTGACTCAATAAATATTATTATTATTATTATTATTATTATTATTATTATTATTATTATTATTATTATTATTATTATTATTATTATACTAAGATCCCATTAAGAGCAAGACTCTGCTTTTTTGCAGGGAATGCTGAATGAAGTGATAAGTGAAAGAACTAGGATGGTGGGAGGTGGCATGGTGTGAGGTGATCGTGGATCCATCAGCAATCACTTGTATGACAGAGGAAACCACGAAAACCCCGGTCAGGATGGCCGGCCCGGAGTACGAACCCCGACCTTCCGGTTACGAAGTCAGCGCGCCAAGCACTGCGCCCTCGGTCGGCCTATAATACTCGTTGACACGCGACCTGTAATATGCGTCTCTTCTATTCTTTAGTCCCTCCAAGTTAATCATGACAAATGACAAATACCCCAGGGAGCACAACGGAATAAAACAAAGGGGTAGAATGAATCGTTAAAGTACCATTGAAATGCAATGGTTGTTTGAATGTGTGTTCTATGTTTCTTTATATTAGTAGTGCCATGTCTCACAGGGCTGCCCATGAGTTGGGGTGGGGGAGGGGGGAGGAGAGGGGGAAACTTCGACTGACGTCAGGAGACCTGAACGTTTTTGCGAGGGAGGGAATGGTCCATGGAAAAAAATCTCTCTCTCTCTCTCTCTCTCTCTCTCTCTCTCTCTCTCTCTCTCTCTCTCTCTCTCTCTCTCTCTCTTTCTCTCTCTTTTTCTTCTACATTCAATGGTGATTTATTAAAAGTTTGAATCAGTACATGTGATAATCAGAAATACTAAATAGGCCTATGAAATCTATGGATGGATCTGCTTGACATGCAGTTCAGTGTTGGTTTTAGCTGAAATGAAAATTACATTGGATGTAATTGAAACTCTACACTTTGTATTTTATATATTTATTTTCTTCTTCTATTTATAATATTACATATTTATAATGAATTAATATAATATATTTATAATTTTCTGTGATATAACATGTAATATTATAATCTTGTATATTTGATTGACATTGTTTACAATAAATGGGTAATATTTTCATCAAACAAATAAAATTTGTTTACTAATGAATTAAAATTAGTGAACCATGGTGTATTTTGCTTACACTAGTTGCTAATTTTTATTTTATAAGTTTTCTTGTTTACAATAATTGTATACAATTATTTCAAGTTCTGTGCACCTCTAAAGAATTTCTATTTGTTTGCAAGGGATATTAAGAAGGGTACTAAAAGGTAAGATACACTAATACAATTTTAAAGAATTTTTGTAATCAATTATTGATCAATTGTTATCAACTGAAATCAATTGTTCATCAAGAGGAAAATTTAAACAAAATGTTATTCCTTATTATGTTATGTTTGTTTTTCAATATATGCTTATGCTGTGAAATGAAATATTAACTGTTCATTAAATTTCCTCAACTTTTTTCTAGAATGTAATACAATTAAAAAGGATTTTGAATTCTCAAGTGGTCATGTACATATGAGAAACCACATACATTTACTATAATTAGTATAATAAAATGAAATAATTCTACTCTTTTGCAGTAGTGAGCGATACCTTTTAATACCCTTTTTAATACCCCTTGCAAGCAAAGAAAATTCTCGAAAGGTGCACAGAACGTGAAATAACATGCTTTTTTGATGAAGGATTTCTGGACTACATATGTTAAAGTAATTGTATGATACATTGGATGGTTTCTATCACTGTAAGGATAAAAACTTGAAACTAGCAAACTATTAGAAATCAATGAATATGACAGTTAATGCTGACATTTTGTAGAATTGTTTGTTTGGTTTGTGAAACTCAACAATCACTAATTTTTTTAATATTTGTCTTGAGAGTTTGATACACTTCAATAAATAAATCGTAGCTCTTTTAATTAAGGACAATCAGCTCACTGAAACTGTTGTTATTAAATAAAGTATCAAAGAAGTGTTAAGTGTTTGTACTTTTTATTTTATTTCACACAATGCTTTAGATTTGAACCTTTAAATCCATCTTCAGGTGAAAATGGTATATATTTCAATTATTATAATAATTATTGATGAATAGCACAAAATTACAAGAAAACAGAGGCTCGCCATGTGCCAATGTAATAAAATCTTTAATCCATAAATTATTTTCTTACCATAATTTAATTTTTTGTGTTAATTATTCTGCCAAAAACATTTTAATACATTAAGTTAAACTACTGCAAAAAAATAATTTATGGATTTATGATTTTATTAAGTTGACACAAGGTAAGCCTCCAATTTTCTTATAATTTTTTGCTAATCAGTGCTTTCAACTATTATTGTCAGTGCTGGATTAAGGCAAGGGTCCTGGTGCTACAGCCTCAGGATGACTCCCTTCTTAGGGAGTATAGGAAATTTCTTTTTTAATCTTTTTTTTGAATTTTTGATTTATTTTCAAAATGGAATTAATGATTTCACGAAACTTAAAGCATAAAGAATGCTTTGTAAAATGAATAATTGTCTTTATGATTTGATTGTAGCCTAACATGGAATTCATTGTAAAATATTCATTATTTTTGCAAACAAATTTTGATACTTTATAATCAGTTTGATACCTTTTTTTGTAACCAAAATTCTTAATGATTTTTTTCATGTATAAACATGTTTGGTGGTCATGATCTACCCAGACCCTACTGAGCCCTTGGGAACCTAAAGACACCACTGATAATTGCTTTAATAATTTGAATATGCATCGTAAGTTGCAGTTCACTTCAAGGTGGATTTAAAGGTTGAAATCCAAAACATTGTGTAAAATAAAACAAAAAGTATGGTATAACTTAAACTCTCCTTTGAAACTTTATTTAATAACAACAGTTTTCATAATAAGATTGTTGATTACTTCCATCTGAAACAAACTATTTACATCTCAACAAACAATACTACAATACACTGCTTTTTATTTGCATTCAGAATAAGGAATAGTATATACATTTATGAATAAAATCTTGCAAGTTTCCAAATTATTATTCCTGATTTTCTGTAGTAATTTGCATTTATGTCTGCATTGTGATATCAAACACAGTACTATTGTAACTGTATAAGTATATCTTTTTTTGTCTATGGGATAGGACACATTACATATCAGTTTACATTACTTTTAGAACAAAGTAGTTTTTAACCTATTGTTAAGTGACATTTATATGGAAGTTAAAAACATGTAGTAATTAATTTTAGAACATTAATTAACAACATTTTTGAAAAAAGATAAGTTAATCGCTTGAAACCTTGAACCAGTTGTGTAATTATACTATAAAAACAATACTACATTCCCTTTATATTTAAACTAAGAGTCAGTTGCAACTAAATTTTATAGGCCTCCCTAAAAAAACTAAATGGCAATAGGCTTGCAATTTTAAACAGCAACATACTACTGTACAATAAGTGGTGGTATCTAAAACATTTTCAGATATTGTTTACATTTATCTTTGAATGAAAACTTAGAGAAAAATAAAAAAAATAAATGAAGGAACTTAAATTAACTTTTTTCATATTTTCTTTTTATTATATTTTTAATTTTTTCTTCTTTTTAACTACAAGTTGAGTCAACTTCACAGTATGTGATGTTGCTCAGTGGTGCTATATAACTACTTAGTTCTTCTGGGCAGGGGGGTCCTCTCAGTGGGAATCTTCAATTAATGGTTTGATGAACTGTTTTGAATTACATCAAGTTATTTTAAATATTTTTAGGACATTCACAGCTCTTGATTTTGGCATAAAGGTTGAAAGATATAATTTGAGACTACATGTTCGTGTTATTGTATTATTGCTGAAATCAGAAATAAATAACATTTTTTTAAACAAGCTGGTGTAGGTTATGATAAGTAGTAGACTATTACTGTTTTTTTGTTGAAAGGATTTTCTTAGCCACAAAGACACAAAAACAAATTTTATATCCAGCTTATTGATACTATTCTTACAGATCCAATATTATGAAATTAACTTGAGTTCTAAACCTGGAATTATTTATTTCGTCTTTCATTCAATTAATCAAAATAACTTAAATGCTTCTGCCAGATGCATTTTATTATTTATTTATTATTCAATAACTCACTTGCCCAATCTTTCTTTAATGCCTTGGAGTGTTCTTAGGCTGAAGATGTATCTTCTTCCCTCCCATTCTAATACAAAGTGATTTGAAATGTTTCAGATGCTCTGTTGAACAAATTTCCATTAACACCTCTGGTTCAACTTCACAAGCATTCATGTTTAGAATTTTGAGTTTTAAATTAATGCAAATTGCCACCAAGCTTTTGCTTGTGATATTTTTACATTGATTCAGGTTCAGGCACTTCAGTTTGGTACATTTAAGTATAAAAGAAACCCCTTTGTTGGTTAGGGCATTGCAGCCATCTAAATACAAATATTCTAAGCAGATCAAATTTCCGATAAACTCCAAACAATCATCTGTCAATGAATCGTTATTTCCAAGATTCAATTCCTTCAAATTCAAGCACTTGGTGAAAATCGCAAGAGTCAGTCTGCTGTCAACTATGTCAAAATTGCTTAAATCCAGAGCTTCAAGATTACGGACACATCCAGTTTCAAAATAATCAATCACACCATCCATATTACGACATTTAGTACCAGTTACTGCAAGTTCTCTCAGGTGGTGCATATTTTTAAAGTTAGAAAAATCAGCTACTGATGATCTCCCTTTATGTCCAAATATATGCAGAAACTGAAGTGCAGAACAGTACTTTCCAAGTGTTGGAAGTAAGCATTTTTGTCCTGGAAGACAACAATTCACAGACAAAGAACGTAGTTTATTTTTCTTTTGTTTCAAAAAACCTGTCAAATCCTTATTTCTGTAATGCAACATATAACTAATATCAAGCCTCTCAAGAGATGGAAATCCATGAACTACATCAGAGAAAAGGTTATTACTATTGTCTACTGTTTGTCCAATTAATCTCAAACGCTTCAGTTTTGGGCATCGACTGACCATCTGCAAATATTTAGTTGATACAAAATCATCAGTTTCAATAGAAAGATCTTCTATATTTTGACATTCAAACACAAAAGACATGATTAAACTACTGTCAGCTTTATTAACCTTCATTCTCAATGACCTTATATCTTTGCAATAAGTTATCACAGCTTCTAGGAGGCGACCTCTTATGTATTCAAACTGTGGAACAAATTTTCGAAGCTTTGGAGCTCCCTTTAGTACTTCAATCATTTGATCTGGTGAAATCTTATTGCTTGGAGTGTATGTCAAATTTCTCCAGAGCTTATTTTCTTTGGCTACTTCTTCCCATCTTTTACTCACTTTCCTCACATTTATGGCTAGGTCTTCCACACAAAGATATGAGAAAATTTCTACAAGCATCTCATCAGGGAGGTCATTAATAGTCTTCTTTGGAATCGTTTTCTGCAGGGAGACAAAAATACTATGAATAAATACTTAGGTATAAAGAATGAAAATACAGTAAACCCTCGACTTTATGGACTTGATATGCTTAAACCTTGCTTGACAAATGTAGGTATCGGTACGTGCAAAAAATACAGTATGCAGTTTTGAACCATTAGGCTCAGATTTTTGCTGCACTGCTGTCCTACAGAAATAAGCATAATTTAGATGATCACAAATTAATTTACAGGAATGTTTAATGCTGTAATACACAGCATGATTATTACTTTATATTTCTTCCCAACTCTATTTTTATTTTTTTGTTGGGTAACTATCATTTTGATGTCCATATGACCAAAATCCAAACTATCGAGAGTTTACAGTAGTAAATATACTTTGACTACACAGAAGATAAAATGAGTCAAAGATGTGATTTGAATTATTTATTAATTATAAGAAAAAATTAAGAATAATTAATGGCCAATTTTTCTCAGAAGGATGAAACTTTTCTCACAATGTGATCTGCGGACATGAGATGGTATCTACACATCTAGTAAAGGGAAAAGGGAGAGATTTTGATTTATTTATTTAAGATATTTCTTAACATTAAGAATTTTGGATGCTGCCAACTCATAGCTTTGCCAGAAGACAATCAAAATATTTTAGCTTCTCTTGTGTAATTAAATTAATTATTCCAAAGCTTCTCTCACTTTAAAATTTGGGAGGTCAATGAATTTACTTTCAGTTACAAATTTGAAAAGCAGCTATTCAAAATATTTTTCTTTCACAAGCGGAGAGAAAAGTATTATAAAGACAAATTCTTCAGAAATACTGAATGATCTAAAATTTCTTTTTCAACAGAAAAATAATATAATTCTTCTATCAATTTGAAGGAGCACCTATTTTAGTGAATTTCTAATTATGTACTTTTGAACATTCCTAAATTGTAATATTTGTATTACGTTGAAAAGAACAACAACGAATTCATTGCTTTTATAAGATCTGGATTTGATTTTACTCATTGAAATGCAACATAATTTTGAAAAAATAACAATTTACAAGTAAATAACATTTTATGCTAACAAGTAAACACATTTTTGGAACGCAATGGAAAATTGTACTTGACACTTTTTTGAATTTAGTACTGATAACAAGGTCTAAATTTATAAATTAAAAATGAATTTATGAAAATAAAATTGATACCTACAACAGTTTTATTCCATGTAAAATGCAAGTTTATAATTTCTCTTTAGATTCATCAATATTGAACTGTAAGAATATTTTTAAAATATTGGATGGAAATTATTAATAAATAATTCATAAAAATTTTGATCAACTCTTAAACATGCCCTAAATATTCAGTAGAGGGTAGATCTAGATTCAGTAGCTCCTGTTTAAGACCGAGGGCCTTTTCCGAAACTACATCACAAAAAATACCATAACTAGTAAACTAGGACAGGGGGAAATAAAATAAGCCACACTATTAAAAGTTACCTTCTCCATTCCAGGGTGTTAAACTGTGCAGTGACAGAGAATGTCCCAACAATGCAACAAATCCCTGACAGAGGTATGTCAAATCGCTTCTTCGTCTTTCGGCACTCCCTCTCTTCCAGCGCATTCACAGCGAGTGTTCAAGTCAGCGGCCAGGGCGAACAGGAAGAATGAAAAATGAAGGGGCGATCTAGAGCACAGCCAAGCGGTCGGAATAGGAACCGAATATGGGTAGAAGACCCAATACACCTCAGTCAGCCATTCCAGAGAGAGAACGCTGAAACCGTCGCGTTCTAAAGACCAATGAAATGACAGGTGGTGGGGGGCAATCTTCATTGCCTTCCTGCAGTTGGATTCCTGACCAAATATGGTCTTGGAATCAACTGTATGACGTAGTGCCAGTCGATGAGAAAAATTCTTTAGCGATGACATCAGCGAAGGTTGGCAATGGATGAGTCATTCCGACTGCGAGAGCTCATTGACCGCGTAACTTTTGCCTTTGCAGCATCGTTGACTGGGAAGTCCTTGGTTTGGAGCCCAGAATTGCCTCCCACTACCCTCACACACACACACACACACACACACACACACACACACACACACACTTAATACACGTAATACACTTCCTCCCAAGTCGAAAGATCAGTTGGGAGATTGTACTCGTCTCTATTGGGGCGGTGATTCTCTGAGGGAGATACTTCGAGGAGGAAACACCACAATTCTACATGAAGGTCGGCGCCGAATCTCAATTTCCAGTGGGGGATATGCACCGTCACCTCGAAGGAGTTACATGCACTACACTTTCGAAACGAATGACCTCAGTGGTCGTCTCGCCCGCAATCAAACAGTTATTTCATCTTCTTAAAATGCACTTAGGCTAAGGGACATGACATTCTGATTTTAACGGGATTGTTCCGTTATTTTGCTTCTGGTCTCGTTGTCCCGAAGAAGCGTTAAAGGGATGCTAATTGACGGCTTTTTAACGTATTATATCGTATAGTTCAGGTTTTTATTAAATCAATGCTTGTCTGTTCAATTTGATGCATTAGCAGGTTTTCTCAAAGTGGCCACATCGCTTTTTTTGCCGGAGATGCCTATTGGCGAAGATATGCTTGTGATGAAATGTCAAAGAAATTTTATCTTACATTACAATTTAAGGTCCGTTTATAATATTGTTGGACGTGAAGTAAAACAGCTGTGAGCAGAGAAGCCAATCGGAAGCTTCTATTTTGGATGACAAAGAAACGTCAAAAATTGGAATTCCCGAAGCAAAAAGGCATTAAATTAACAATATTTTTTCATTAGTTGAATTTGCACTCACAATGCGAGTAACTAATGCATTCTTGAGAAGGGTATTTTCTAATTTCTGTATGGACTGAAGAAAAGAAACATTTGTCTTTCACAGCAATGATTATTGTTAAGACACAATTTCAATTCCGCCATTCCAAAATTACGTTGTAAATAATGTACCATTTTTATAAGAAGTAATGTCTGCTAATAAATACATGAAATAAATTTAAAATTGTAAACGTTTTCTTTTTACTTTTATTAATTTATAGTAATGTTTAAAGACGGTGGTTTGTTTTTATTATACAGTGTGTAATACTGTATTTAGTGTTGTGCTTGTGTCCCATTTTTTAGTCAAGAAAATGTCAAAAAGTCGAATTTTTGTTTTTTTAAGATCTGGTCACTAGATGCTAAAATAACTTTGTTAGCCCTATTGTTATGGAAACAAATGGTTTCAGAATGCTTCTGACACATACATAGATTCAATATTACAAACGCCATTATCCTTTGTACCACATCTGGGATCTTTTTGGACTCCATTGTCTCCTATATTATTTCAGTAGTATACATACCTTTTGCGGCTCTAATACCGACCGATCTTCAAAAATCAGGTCTCTAAAGAAAGAGAATTTCACGGAGACGTGACTAATTTCACTTTTACTTTCAAAATATAAAGGATGTGTTCAAAAAACGCATTAAAATATTCATGTCATATGCAACCCGCCACACTCAGACAGATGTATGGGTAAATAACTCCCCAACGAAGCGTTCTAGGGCCTTAAAAACTAAAATTTCGAGGCCAAGGGCCATTCCAGTATTTTCGTTATCAACAGTGATTCGGTGAAACTTTCAAGTTACCATGTTCAATCAGTAGCTTTCTCAAGAGTAAAAAAAAGCTTTTACAAATATTTTTGTGACTATCACGAAAAGTGAAAAGCGATATGTCAAAGAATATTGAACAATTCAAGTACTTTTCAAGTTCAAGTATTTTTAAATTTCAAGTATTTTTATGGAAGTGTTGTGAATTGTTCCAAGAAATCTCTCGATAATACTAAATAAATCGTTATTGAAAATTTCTTTTCAACATCAATAGCAATTTAAAAAAAATTGAAATTGTGTTAGTACATTGGAAGTTACTTGTATATATTTTTAAACAAATAAATACTTTTCGTTAACAACTTTCCCCTCTTAGAATGGAAATAGGATAGGAAAGAGTGTGGGGTTTAACATGAGTGAGTTCTCGCACGGATATGCGGAGGTAGGCGAAAAATTGTGCAATGTTACAACACAAAAGACAAACTTTGTAAACTAATGAAAGTAAACTATCTTGAAAGAAATAAAAAATCGCCAACCTATAATACTATGTGAATTCACTTAAATAAAGCAACCAAATTTAAAATTATAGAAAGATTAGCTCAAGTCACTCGACAACAAAAAGCTATCAATTCGGGCGCAAGATTTAAACGTTGGCGATATCTGGAAGTCTGGACATCAAAGCACAGCTGTTAACTCATATTGTAAATAATACACTGTTTGATATTAAACTTAAGATGTCGGTTCGCCAAGATATTTAATACGAATTGCTCTTCAAAACCCCCTCTGTTCCTCATAACAAATCCAGAAAAGTTAAATAATATTGCAAAGAATAGGGTTGTACTTGCCCAATCCTGTATTTTCGCATGGAAACCTTCACTTGGCTTTCTCAAGAGTAAAAACATTTTTTAATATTTTTGTGATTATCAAGGAAAGCGAAAAGCTAACTGTTAAGGAAGATCGAATAATAACTTCAAATGCTGTTTTTAAGGAAGTGTGAAATGTTCAAAGAACATATTTCTATAATACTGAATGAACCTGTATTGAAAATTTGTTTCTAACATCAATAGCATAATTTTTATTTTCGTTTGATATTCTTTAAGTACGCAGTTACAGTTATACATTTTTTAAATCAAATAAACAAGTTTCATTAACACCGTTCCTTCTTAATGGAAAAGATAGGGAAAGAATGGAGATTAACTTGCGAGAGTTCTCGCGCGTGTACGCTAGTCGTCATTCATTTGTTAATATATTCCTAAATATTCGCGAGATAACTTCAGTCTTCTAGATATGCCTTCCTGCAATTATTAAGCAGATACCAAATCATTTGCACATATTTTCATAATTTTATTACAAAGTTATTAATTTTTTTCGTTACAGGAGACTGGTTTGACCTGATGTATAGCCTCCTATTTCTCCATTTTCATTTGAAATATCTTGTCATGAGTTTCAAAAAAATTGACTGAAACCGTCAAAATTTGATAACTCTCACAAACTATTATAAATATTTCTAAAGCATTATGTATCGTCAATGGAGGTTATTCTTATATGAAATATTTAATATGAATAAATTATATTTATTATATTATTGAAAATAACTTATAAAATGTATACTTATATAAAAACAATTATTTAAACTCTGTATATTGCCGTACACATTGGTGTTCACCATTTCCAATTGTCAGGAAAGCTTGGGGTCCAAAACGACCCCAGGTATAATACTTGATTGAAAATTGCAGATATGGTACGCGGGTAAAAGACGGCGTTTTCATACAAAGTTCATTTTTAAGTTATGGTGCGTTGAATGTATCAATCCAAACACGTTTACAACTAGTTCGGTCAAGTGATTCGACCTCATGGGACATGGGTTCTGAGCGTATGAGCCTAAATATATGGACACTAGAGATGTGGTTTCGAAACCACGGAAGACACGAATGTTTTCAGTTGTTTTAACAGGGGGCATTTCTAATCCTGTGACAGCACAATAATACGTAAGGGCCAAGGAATACCGTAAGCAAATATGTTAATGTACCGATACTGGACCGAGATAGTTCTCTCCGATGTTCAAGGTGTGCGAATATGGGCTTCACCACCTCGAAGAGAATAGGAGACTAACTAGTACGAGAAAGTCTGTGCCATTCTATAGGACCACTCGTTTGTCTTTGTAAGAGAAAGAAACCAAGTGGAGAGGAAGTGCAATCAGATCGAATGCCAACGCATTGCTCAGATTGATTGATAACAGCGCGCGGCGACGTATAAGGTCATTAGTCCCGTAAGTGTAGTGTATACTTTATCGTGGATGGCGTCTGTGACCTTTACCTGTTGGATGGGGAGATTCGGCGCCGACCTACGCGTCGGCTTGCTGGGTTTTCCCCAACCAGGAATCTCCCACCAATTATCGCACCTCCCACTTGACACCAACTCCAATCCCTTGACTGGTCTTCCGACATGCTTAGTAGTGTAGTGAATGAAAGAGTAATTGTGTATAAGAGGTGTGCTTTCCCTAAAGGAAGAGGAAAAATAGATCGCGTGCGGTCCGTGGCCTGTTTGTTAGGGTACTTGCTCCGGGGTCGCCCGCTCTAGAATTCTAAGCGAAAACAAATCTTCTTACGTCCCTGCATAGCGGTACTGTGGCTTGATATACGGAATATTTTCTTTGCAAAATCAGGATTCATTAAACATTTTTCTATTATTTTAATTTTTATAGCAAACGCAGTAATTTTTTTTATAGATTTCACTTTTCGCACTTGGGAAACATTGGCATGCGCAGCGTAAAACAAGAGGAGTCAATAAAATTTCTGGGCACCTGAAGACACTTTTGTTCATTATTTGTTACTTTCCTGCCGTTGCTTTTTGCCCTGACTAGGTAAGAGAAATAATTGTAATCATGCACCGGAAAGCAGCAAATTTTCGATAGAAAAATCATTTTCCTGCGTACAACAAATTACTTCCACTAGCACGTGGTGTAGCCAGAATCCATATTTTGTTTGTTCTTGATACTAAGATATCGATTGACGGCACGTCTATCTGGCCCCCTGTGGTCAATACTAAACCATTCAGTCAATTTTCTTCAAAATTGATATTTCCCGATCTATCTAAATGAAACGGCTTTGCCAGTTTTAAATGGATTTTTAAATTTTGAGAGTACTTTATTTTGGAGCAG